GTCAAATTGTAGCAGGTGTTTTGTAGACATTGAGAAGCTAATTCAAAATTTGCATATAATGTAAATAAATTAGAACTTCCAAAACAATTTTATAAAAGAAAAAGAAAGGTGGAAAACACACACTACATGATTTAACACTTACTCTAAAGAGATAATAAACAAAACAGTAGGATATTGGTCTAAGGATAGACATAAATACCGAGGGAAGAGTTAAGAAGCTAAAAATTGACCTATGTGCAAATAATCAAATCATTTTTGTCAAAGGCACCAAGATTATTCCATGGAAAAATAGTGTTTAATAATTGATACAGTATGGGGAAAAATAAACATTGACCCTTATGTTCATGACACAGCATAAGCAAAATATTTCAAAATAAATTGTAAAAGACTTAAATGAAAGAATTAAAGCATAAAAAGTTCTAAAAATTAAATGAGAGAAAATCTTTATGACCTTGGATGAGGCAAACACTCCTTAAAGGGAACACACAGTCACATATATACACAAGGCAAAGCAAAAAAAGGAGATGCTGTAAATTGGAGCTTTATCAAAATCGAAAGTTTTGCTAATTGAAAGATTTGATTAATAAAGTTAAAAGATTAAAAAGGCAAACTGCAGATTGGGAGAAAGTATTTGCAAAACACTTATCTAAAAAGGACTGTGACCATAACATGTAAAATCTCTTCATAAGGAAATAATTAGAAGAAAAATAAGACAATTTTAAAATTGCCAAAAGAGTTGAAAAGATACTTCAGAGAAGATACCTGGGTGGCAAGCAAGCACGTGGAAAGATGATCAACATCGTTTGTCATTTAGAAAATTTGAATTAAACCACAATGGGAGGCCACTTCAACCTGAAATGTACCTAACAGGATTTTAATGCGTGGAGGTGCCCAGGCAGAGACTGAGGCTATTGAAAGAATTTATTACTCACGTTCCTAAGAAAAGAGAGCATAGCTCATCAAGCAGGGTCATGTGATGAGCATCAGGTATGGCCAGAAGCAGACGCAGGATCCAGGGGACACCAAGGCCAGAACCTCCACCAGGGATTCCAGGGAAAAGGTGAGTCTGGGCAGACATGACAGTTTAGCATGGGCTGACTTGATATGATTCCGGGGCTCTGGGGGTGCAGGTGTGATCTCCAGCTGCCTGGTACCTGTTCCTGGGATGATTTAGGGCAGTGGAAACTTTGCCTTAATGAGTGCAACCTTGCCCTGCTAAAATACTACAATTAGATATTATTTTTACATATTATATTAGAAAAATTCCAAGTTCCTTTAGGCAGTCTAAATTGGTTAGGCTGTAAAAGGAACCTGCAATCTCTTACACGGATGTTAGGAGTACAAAACAGAGCAGAAACCTGGCAATTCTTGGTAAAATTACACACTTACTCACTACAGGAGCCCACAATCCCACTCCCGAGAATCCATTCTGAAACTGTGTCTTCACTAACACGAAACAACAGGTGTAGAAAGCCGTGTGTAGCAGCACTGTTTATAACAGCAAAAGATTATAAATAGCACAAATTACCTGCAATTGGATCTGGTTGAATAACTACTGTGCATTTCTAAAGTAAATGCCATTTACATATTTTTTTAAATAAGGAAAATCTCTACTCACTAGTGTGATCGCCATTATTATTAAGAAAGGTTCTACCGAGTTGTAGAAGAGTGTATATGATAGGTTACATTTTACCTAAGATAAAAAGAAAAAAGGGTTTGTTTACTTATGCCTATGCATACATACATGTATGTGTTTACAGATGCAAAAAGAAATGCAGCAAAGACTGCCTGGAGGCTAATGAAAGGGAAGAAGAGAGGGCGGGGGCAGTGAGCTGGAGAGAAGGAAAGACACCAGAAACTACCAAGCACACTTCTTACGACTTGTCTTTCCTTTCTTTTCCTTTCCTTTCCT